TGCTGTCCCTGGGGCTCATCCCATGGTGTGGGGATCTAGGTATCTTCAATATGCGGGGGTTTCCACTGTAACTGGGCTGCACCTTCACCAATAACCTCTCCTGGGCTGTCTTCTAGGATTCTGACCCTGCTACACAGTGCCAAGCCTCAGCTGCCTTCCATGACCCCCTCATGCCTTCAAAACAAGCATCACTTGGCTGACTTGTACACATTACCGAGTTCAGCTGCCAGCATGAGACAATACCCTCAGGCCCCTCTGGACCACATCATCATCATCATCATCATCATCATCATCATCATCATCATCATCATTATTATTTGGTTTTTCGACATAGGGCTTCTCTGTGTAGCTTTGAAGCCTGTCCAGGAACTTGCTCTGTAGACCAGGCTGGCCTCATACTCACAGAAGTCCACCTGCCTCTGACTCCCATGTGCTGGGATTAAAGGCATACGCCACCACTGCCCGGGTGGAAAGGGTTAATTTCACCTTACACTCCCAGGTCTTAGGGTTTTTATTGTTGAACATACCCTATGGCCATAAGCAACTTGGAGAAGAAAGGATTTATTTTGCTTATACTTCCACATCATAGCTTATCATTGAAGGAAGTCAGGGCAGGAACCTAGAGACCTAAAGCAGAGGCAATGGAGGAGTACTGGTTACTGGCTTGCTCCCTGTGGCTTGCTCAGCCTGCTTTCTTATAGAACCTAGAACCACCTGCCCAGGGTGGCACTGCCCACAGTGCAATGGATCCTCCCACATGAATCTTTAATCAAGACATTACACCACATAGTTGCCTTCAGGTCCATCATATGGAGGGATTTTTCTTTTCTTTTTTAAAGATTGATTTATTATGTACACAGTGTTCTGCCTGGATGTATGCCTGCATGCCAGAAGAGGGCACCAGATCTCATTATAAATGGTTGGGAACCACCATGTGGTTGCTGGGAATTAGGCATAGGACTCCTGGAAGAGCAGCCAGTGCTCTTAACTTTTGAGCCATCTCTCCAGTCCCTCCAGAGGGATTTTTCTTAATTAAGATTCCCTCTTCCCAGATTTGTCTAGGTCTGTATCAAAGTTGACAAAACCCAGTCAGGATACTATCTATCACAGAGAATTCAGGACGGGAACTCAAACACAGGGAGGGAAACTAAAAACAAGAACCAAAGCAGACACCACTGAGGAATGCTAGTCTTGCTAGTCCAGCCCATGAGTTTCGTCACGTCACTGTGAGTATTCCAACAAATTTTCAGTTTAAAATTTTTAACATGGTTCTAGGCAGATTTATTGTAATTCCCATCAAAATTCCAAGTACATTCTTCACAAAATAGAGAAAATATATCTTAAAATTCACATGATAGCATAAAAGATCCTGAGCAGAAACAGCAAAGTTACCAGTGTCACTGATTTTAAATTTTACCGCAGAGCCATAGTGGTAATAGAGGCCAGTATGTTAGTGGCAAAAACAGACTCGTAGACAAGTAGAATACAATAGAGGGTCCAAAAATAAACCCCTTTAGCCATGTGATTAATCGATTAATCTCTCTCCCTCCCTCCCCGTGTGTGTGTGTGTGCTATGATATACAAATAGGAAGGCCAGAAGACAACTTTGTGAAGTTGGTTTTCTCCTTCTACCTGTAGAAGGGTTCTGGGGATTGAACCTAGGTCACCTAGTTTGTATGGCAAAGCACTTTTACCTGCTGAGTCATCTTGCCTGCTCGGACACCTGATTTTTGACAAAGGTGCTCAGAACACATACTAGAAAAGACAGCCTCTTCAACAAATGGTGCTGGGAAGGGGACATCCACATGTAAGAAAATGAAAGTAGATCACTCTCTTGTCTTCAACAAAAATCAGCACAAAACCGATCAAAGAGTTCAATATAAAACCTGGAAGTGTTATACTGCTAGAGAAAAACCCTTCAAGATCTAGGCACAGACAAAAACTTTCTGAAAGACTCCCATTGCCCGTGAAATGGCAAGAATGACAGATGAACTTGCACAAAAATCAAAAGCTCCTGCACAGCAATAAAACAAAGTGAAGAGACAGCCTAGAGTGGGAAAAACTTTACCAACCGTACATCTGAGAGGATGTCAGCATGGTACCTAGCATCTATAAAGAATCCAAATAAATAGATATCAGAAACCCCCACCCCACACAAGTAATTCAGTCATTAAATGAGCAAGTTGTCAGAAGAATAAATACAGGGGAGGCGAGATGGCTTGGCAGGTAAAGATGTTTTCATCAAGTCTGAAGACTGGAGTTCAATCTGTGGAGAGAGCCTACACCCACAGGCTATTCTGGCCTCCACATGCTCACCAACGCCACAAATGCATCCACAGACAAAACAAATAAATACATGTAATAAAAAATACAAATAATAAATACATGAAAAATCTCAACATCCCTAGCTATCAAGGAAATTTAAATTTAAAATTACATTGATGTCTGTAGCTATCTAAACACACACACACACACCATACATTGAGATTCTATCAGCCAGAATAGTTACTATAATCAACAACCAAACAAAAATTGCTGGAGGTAATGTAAACTAGTGCAGCTACAATTGAAACCAGTGTGGAAGTTCTTAAAAACTTAAAAATATAATGACCGATAAGATGATGAAACTAAGCCACCACTGGGTTTGTATCTGAAGGAATATCGTCAGCCTACAACAGAGAACCCTGTGCATCTGTGTTTACTGTAGCACTGTTCACTACAGTCAAGATATGGTATTAGTCTAGATGTCCATCAACAGATGAATGGATAAAGGAAACATGAATAAATATAGCTGCAGTACTATTCAGCCACAGAGAAGCATGAAACTATGTCCTTGGCAGGAGATTGGATAAAACTGGAGGTTATCCTCTTAACAGGAAAAGGCTGAGGGGTTGTTGGAGCGATGGATGGCCCATGTACATGTAGGCACTCACATATACAGAATATAAAGAAGGACTCAGAAACCTTTTTTCTCTAATATATAGAATAAAGAAGGGAGGGAAGAAGGGAATGAGTGAGGAAGGGGTTGGGAGGAAATTTGTTTAGTGGAGAAGAGGGGCATGAGAAGGTAATAAGAGGATAATATATACGCTATGGAAACACCATCATGAACCCCAGTGTTTCATAAATAAAATCTTTTAGAAATATCCGTGGTTTCTGGCGTTTTTGTCACCATTGTTACTGTTTCACAGGGCGTATTCCTTCCTATCTGTGTAGTCTGTTTTACACCCTCTCTTGTTTATGTGGGCCGCGTGCTCTAAAGTTCTCTGCCAGTGTTCCCCAGCTGTCTCGAGTGCAAGCTTGACTTGTTCCATGCTGTCCTTTGCATTGCTGGCACTAACCAGTGGGTGATCTCAGTCATGCTTTGTCCTTATGCCAGAACTTCTCCAGAAGACTTTCCAAGTCTCTGTGGAGGAGAGCGCTAATGGACATTCCAGACTGCACAGGATATGGCCCGATGAAAGGCCTCAGAAAACCTGATCTGGGCCCTAAGGACCTGGGCAAAGGGTCTAGGTACTCACTATCTCTTCATACCACTGCCTCAGGCAGGCTTCAGGTCTCTGTGGATTTCAGTCTCTTCCATCAGGAGCCTGGCCTCTAAAATGTTTTTAAATTTATTTTACGTGTATGAGTGTTTGGTTTACATAAACATCTGCACACCATGTGTGTGTCTGATATCTACAGAGGTCAGAAGAGGGTGTCAGATCTCCTGGGACTGGAGTTACAGTTGCAAGTAGCTATGCTGAGTGTAGGGATGGAACCTGGGTCCTCAGGAAAACCAAGTCTGTGCTCTAAACCACTAAGCCATCTCTCCAGGCCCTGGTCCATTTTTTTTTATCCTTACCCACAGCTTCATTATCCATGCTCCTACATGCCTCGCTCATCCCTACTCTTTTGAAATGTACATATCCCCCAACCTTTCAACCTCCACTCCTTAACTGGTATTATCTGCTAAATACTCCTAGGCAGTCAGGGTGGGCTATGGGGGTAGAAATGGCACATGACCCTCTATAGCTTTTATTCTCTGGCACATTGCTTGGAAATACTTGAAATCCCCTCCACCAGCACAGGTCCCTGGGTAGCCCCAGAGGGAGAAAAAGACAATATACCCCCACCATCCCTGTGTGGCTCTCACCATTGTCTGTGTTGGGTATAAGTTAGCCTCTAATGCAGAGACCTCCCAGAGGAGAGATGCTGACCAACAGGACACTGGGCATGTGGTACTGACTGAGGTACGCTGTGGATGGCAGCAAACACTGGGGTTTGAAATGTTGGTTTGCCATGGGAACTTGAGGACAAAACATCTGACGCCCACCTGTGATGGATGATGACTTGCAAGGCAGAGAGAGTATGGCAGAGTCGGGTAGGCACAGTAGAGGAAGCTGGAAACACTGGCTGTGAGTGACAGCTACAGGCTGCCCTAGCAAGATATTACAGGGAAGAGATCCAAGGCAGTCCAGCTTTGCCAGCTGGAGAAAGGGCACAGATGAAGACCGGAAATGCAAGGATGCGGTTGAAAGTGTGCTCCTCTGTACCTCTAACGGCATGCAGAGCCATGGCGGATCAACATTAAGGATGGCATTTTAGGTAGTCACCCCTCCATGGCTGTAACTTCTGGGAGTAATTTGACTTTGTACAGATCTAAGGAGCGTCTGGAGGACACTGTGGGTACAGTGGGGGTACCCAGAAACTGGAATCCATGCTCTGGGAGACCACACAGGTGTCAACTTGTATTGTCAATGAGAAGCCCAGATGAGTTTGTGGTGGCAGGCTTGAAAGCAGTTCTGCCATTGAAGAGGGCTGTGTGGACATCTTCAGGTTGGCCCTCTGGATGGTGGCACCTCAGCCAGAGGGCAAAGCTGAGTGGAATATCCAGGACTCTTGGTTATGCCACCTAGTGGTGCTTAAAATCAGATACCCCCCCCCCAAGCCTCCCATTATGTTTTACATCTAAGAGCGCCTCCTGCCCCCAACCCAGGCTCAGATCTGGAACACCAGACCATCCGTTTATGGCGCCACTTTGAAGGCTATGGAACCTTTAGGAGATGGGGCCTGGCTGGTGGAAATAGGTCCCTAGGGGCTGGTTTTTGAGTTATATTTGCCTGAACTGTGTCTCCGCTGTGTAGAACTGAGGAATCCCAACAAGCCCCCACTGCCAAGCTTCTCTCGCTGCCATTCCTTCCCTGCCACTAAGGCCTAAAAAACAGCCAAAGCAAATTATTGTTTCTGCCACTGTTCCAGCAGTGAAAACAGTAGCACCTTTCTTCTGTAAGGTGTCACTGCTGTTGTCCCCTCTGCCCTCTGCTGGTTGTGAGGGATGGGTCTCATTCTTGAATGGGATAGAGCCTTAGTCAGTAGCGACGGCTAACCCCATAGCTTGCCAGGCTAGAGTTCAGTCTCAGCATTCCCAACCAATCCCTGTCACTCACACCTCCCTTGCACTCTGGTTGTGGAGGTCTGGGTGCCCCAGTGCCAGAAGGCAGGGGTGTGGTCAGAGTCACAGAGGTGAAAGTCCAGAATGAAGGAGACAAACAGCCTCTTTAGGGTCTTGAAGAGGCCATGTTCAGTCAAGGTCTGATTGAGGAGCAGAGAACAAGGGGCCACCTACTGTTCCCCATTTCGGTCTCTAGGGTAGGTTCTCACCTCTCTCTCTCTCTCTCTACATCTGTCTATGGGGACAGGCTATGACCATGACTCCTGTGACCAGTTCTCATCTCTTTCGGCCCTACCATGGCAGCTGGGCAGGTACAAAAGACAGGGTAGTGACAAACAGGAAGGAAGGTCGGGTCTGCAAAGTGGAGATTCAATGGGACAGTCACCGTGGTTCCTGCTGCAGTGGTCCCAGGCTGAAGCCCACAGCCTAGTGCCTCTCCGAGCAGGCAAGCACAGAGAGCACCAATGGTACCCAGGTAGCCACATGGACAGGCCTGGACTCCAGGTGCAGAGACGGAGACCTGCTTGAGAGGTCCATCCTCTCCTTCTGTTCCCTGCCCCTGCACTGATGGAATGCCTGTGTCCTTGCTCCTCTGTCCACTGTCCCTCAAGCAAGTCGAGCCCTGGGGCCAGACACAGGGCTCTGCAGGAAAGCACGCTTCCAGGGCCATGCATCCTGGGTCTCTGGCATGTGTAAGGCACATTGTGGTTGTTGCTGTGGGACTGCTGGGGTCACTGTCCCCAGGGCAGTGTTCAGAAGATGCTGGCTCCAGGGTGAGGCATGGCTGTCAGTGTTGAGACAGGAGGCATGGTGGGTATGGGCCAGCCCTGGGCCCCGCGGTGCAAGAGAGTAGGGACAGGGTGGGCCCTGGTCCATAGGCCTCAATGGACACAAGATCCTTTTCCCAAGCCTCTGGCCTGGAGCCAGTAGGAGGGGATTATGGTCCTGGGCAGAGCTCGTGGCCAGAGCCAAGGCGCAGTCATGGCGCCCGGACCACAGAAGGCACAATCGTGGTGTCTGGGAGGTTGAGGATCAGTCACCAAGGTTAGGCAGACACATTGACGTCCCTGAGAGAGATGGTGCTACCGGGGGCCTCGTCCCCGAGTAGCAGGGCTGGCGAGTCTGGGTTCGTGTCTGCCTCAGCACTGCCCAACTCTGTGCTGGTCTCTGCACTGGGCTCAGCACTGGGGCCTAGTCCCTGGGACAGGATCTGCTGGATGGTTCTGCGTAAGTTGGGATGTAGCCGTCCCTGTGTCTGGTAGAAGACCTCCAGTGCGAAGGACTTGAGGGCACCGGTGCAGAGGTCCTCATATAGGGGGATGGTGTACATGCGCGACATCTGTGGAAAGCATCAGGTCACACTAGCAGGCTCCCTGTGCGCCTTCTGCCACCCAGATCCAGATGTGCCCCAGCTGCTCAACGCCCTCATCAGTCTCACCCTCGCCTCTCCCTCTGACTGTCAGAGAGTTTGGGGTGGAAGGACTGGGCAAGGAATAGGGATGCCTGAGAAGCTTGGCTGGCCCCTGTATCCAGACATGGAAAGTGATGCCTACAGGCCTTAAGTCCAACTAGCTCAAGGCTGATGCCAGTGGAGACCCAAATTTTCCCCGTGCTGGAGTTCAGGCCACTCTGAACTAGTTTTGCATTCTTCTCCCGTCTCACCTGGGCTGTGGCCTCTCTAACTTTTGGGTCTGTTGGCTTCCAGTCCCCTCTCCAGGACATGCCTGGTCTGCCTGAGTGGCCTGAACTCCTCTCTGATGGGGTGAGATGGGCCTCTGAGGAGAGGCTGTCCCCTCCCCCCTCCCCGTCATGTCCCGGGCATGTAGCTGCACCTGGTTCTCCAGAAAACGGCGGACCCTGTGGAGATCAGGATAGTAGTCATTGCGGACAACGATCTGCAACCACCGGATGCGGATCTCAGCATTCATGGAGTCCAGCAGGGATGAGTAGCATTTGGACAGGCTCATCACCACCTCTGTGGGGTGGTGGGCAGGTCAGGGCTGGGCCGGAGCCACATCCCTTCCCCAGGCTACCCTGTTGACTGGGGCACCCACCCTGGGGCAACGGGGATCCATCTAGCAGTCGGTCCAGGAAGAGCGCTGTCTGGAAGGTCCTCCACTTGGAGATGTCAATGGCACTGGCTGAAGCTGTTGCTTGCTCCAGAGGCTCCGCAGTCCACAGCTGGAAGAGGGCCTCTACAGGCCGGGTGAGGCTGGACCCCTGAGACAGGTCTGGCTCAGCCAGTGGTGGGCCTGTGGCATTGAGCCAGCGCTCGAACTCCAACCCTGCAGGAAGACCAGGCCTGCGGTCCCTGCCTGGGCTGGGGAAGGGGCCACTGGAGCAGCCTGCCAGGGAGACTCCAAGCCCAGAGGGTACCCCGGGCAGGTGGTCTCTTCTAGGACCCAGAGCCCTCAAAGAATATAAGAGTTTCCCAGAAGTTTGTGCTTTCCCCTTGGAGCCCGTAGGGGGCTCCTATGCAGGACACAGGGAAGTCAGGAAGCTCGGGCTGGTCACCAGAGGATTCTCTACCTGCTACAAGCCTGTCCTGAATCCAGCACTGAGGCCAAGGAGGCTCTGCTCTGCTCTGCACCATTCAGAAAAGCACACGGACTCGGAGGACCCCTACCAATCCCACTGTGCACGTATATACCTTCCAAACTTGGGGTCACCATTCCTAGACCTTGAAATCCTCTAGTAAACTTTGATTTCTCTCTGGATATCCAGTTCCTCCAGTGTCTCCTTTGGTCCCCAGGCCCCCGAGGAGACCCCTACTATGCATAGACAGGGTCCCAGAGCCAATCCCACCACCTTGCTGATCCTCCTCTAAGAAATTTGCATATTCTTTCCATAGCTCTTCCCTAGCATAGCTTGGCCTGCTTAGCCTAGGGGCCGCCTCTTCCAGGAAGCCCCTGTCACCCCATCTCCTTGCCATGGTCCTTTAGATCAGGAGGTACAGACTCCCCTTTACTCTCAGGGCATCCTGACCTAGAGCCTAACACAGTGCAGTTGGGGTTGACAAACTTTCCTCCAGTCACGGCTACCATCTTGTTCCCCGCCCTTGTGCCTGTAGCAGGGTAGGTGGCCTCACCTGCCCGGCAGTCCACGCTCTGCTCCTTCAGTTCAGGAAAGAAGCTCAAGAAGGAGTCCAGCAGGTCCTGGGCCACCACGCTGGTGAATTTGTATTTCTCCACATAGGCCTGTGAGATGAGGGGCAGGGCCTTAGCAGGTATGGAAGGCTGGGGTGTTTAGCTCTGGCAGAGCGGGGCTGGCACACTGGGACATCTTCTAAAGATGCGCATCACAGTCCAGGTGGCCCACAGGCCCTGCTGAAAGGGTAGGAGAAGGAGGGGACAGTGCCTCAGAAGGCCAAGTCCCTTCTTCCTAGAGAAGGGGCAAGTCTGCCAGCTGGAAGCTGTTTTGGACAGGAGGTGGTAGGGCCCATGCGCTTACTCGGAGAAAGTCATCAAAGCGCTGGGGATCTCCACAGAGCTGGGACAGGTAGTATACGAAACAGTAGCCCTTCTCATAGGTGAACAGGTTCATCAGGTGGCTGGGGTTCACTCCTGCAGGGAAACACCTTGTCTGGGATGCCACTTGACTATGTCCTTCATTTGGGGCTGGGGCGGTAGTGTGGAGCTGAGGAGTGGGCAAGGGGGAGGGCCACAGTCCCTTATATGAGTACCAGCATCCTGGGTATACAGTGGTTTGCGCTTGCTCTGCCCCATGGCAATCAGTGCTCAGACCCTGTGGGGTTATGGCAAGCCAAGGGCACCTGAGAGGTTTTCCCTGGGGCTAAGGACACCCAGCCTGACCTTGGAAGGAATTCAGGTATGGTGATGTAGAGGGACCCCAGCAGGGCAAGTGGACAGCAGGAAAGGAGGGCCTGTGGATGCCATGCATGGGTTCCCAGTGAGCCTGGAGTAGAGAGTACCTGGTTCTAGCTTGACCTGCAACTTGCTAACTGGACTATCCTCCCCAAGAAGCCGCATCTGCCTATGCAGGGCGTCCAGGCGGAAGGCTGTCTCTAGGCAGGTGAAAGCAGCCCCTGAGTGAAGTCAGAGTAGAGAGAAGATGGAGGTCAGGGAGGTGGGAGCATCTACAGCAGGGTTGTCACACTCTACCCACCATCCAGTCCCAGAGACCGTTAGACCCTGTCAAGCTGGAGGCTAGGCAGGGCTCTGTGCCCCTTACAATTGGTACCTAAGAGGGCCCAAGGCTACTCCACCCTTGCCATGGCTGCCCCAGATAATACCATAGGTCTCTGTGGTGATGCGGCGCTGTGCATAGGTGGCCAGGCCCTCACTCAGCCACATCTCCTCCCAAGTGGCATTGGTGACAGCATTGCCGAACCAGCTGTGGGCCACCTCATGGATGACATCAATCACCAGGAACTCATCACTCTCAAGGATGGAGGAGATGATAAAGGTGAGGCACGGATTCTCCATGGCAACGATGGGGAAGGAGGGTGGCAGGAAAACGATGTCATATCTGTGTCCATGGTTGCAGGGTGAGGAAAGGAAGGGCTCTGATCACAACTCACCAAGCCCACAACTATATTCTCCACCTGGGATGGCAGCCCAGCCCCGCAGTACCACTTCCTTCCCAGGAGACAGAGGACAGGGAACCCGGGGTTAGACAAGGAGTTTCCAGTCTTTCTCTGAGGGAAAGAGTAAAACCAGTGGCAAAGCCAGGGGACAGGACATACCTGCCCCACATGTACGGCCCGTACAGTCGCTCCGCGGCACTCAGCCACTGTTCCACAACACCGGATAGCTTGCTGGTGGCTGTGGGCAGGAGGCATGGCTCAGCCCACACACGGCTCCTGTCACAAGGCAGAGAAGGTAGGCTGAGGCAGACAAGCCTGGACCTTAGTTACCCCACTGGATCCTCCCTTTGCCTTGTCTGGATGTAACCCTTGCTACAATAGTAGGGGAACCTCATAATAAACCCAATATCTACTCAGATCCTTTTGTCAACGAACTGAAGGAACTAGTACGGACAGGAGGGTGCAGCTGGTTGTGTGGTAGCCCTGGGAGTGATGGCAGACCGCGAGGCAGGGCACTGGATGCATCATTTAATTGTATGTCTGAATGCAGTGTGTTCTCAAAGAGGTATGGTAGTCATGTGCGTGGGTTCTGGGCTCTTCCTGAGGTCCAGCTGCCCAGGACAGTGCAGCAGGATGCCGAGGGGGCTTTACCTGGGCCCAATGTCCGCTGGCTTGAGGTCTCCGGCCACAAGAGCCACGAGGTAGGCAGGTACAGGATGCTCCATGTGGAAGTGGTAGACGCCTTCCTCCTCCACGTACACGCTCCGCGTCGCACTCATCAGCACCTGCACCCCTAGTGGGGCCTGCAAGGGGCTAGGCTGAGGACTGGCAGCCTACAGGATGCAACCACCTCCCAGGAAAGGGAACCACACTTCGGAAGGATGACTCATCAGACAACTCAAGTCAGAGGACCCCGTGTCTGTGACAGGGAACCTTATGGTCCCATCAGGGAGCTCTCCATCATCCAGAAGGCACCACCACAATCCAGGTTGAGGAACCCCATATCCATAAGGAAGCCCTCACAACCTCACAGAAACTGTGTCCCCTTCAGAAGACCACACATTGGAACCCCAAATCTTCTCAGTTCAAAGTTGCCATGCTTTGGCTCTAACTCAAGAAACCCCATCAGGTTCCTGTGGATCCAGAGGTCCCGGAACCCAACTGTCAAGTATGTCCTCATTGGTGCTGTACCATGGTCCCTGCACCCGACCTCCATAAGGCCTGTCTCTGGCTTCTCTGCATGACTGTCCCGCTAAGACAATGGCCTTTAGCAGCTGGGGTCCTAGTCTAGGCAGAAGAATGCAAGGAGGTGGGCCAGAACTCATCTGCAGGCTTGCTGTAAGCGCCAGCCTCTTACAATGCCCACAGGAGGCAGAAACAACCCCAGCCGCGATTCTGACCTTGACAACGGCTGAGTAGGTGCACTTGACGGCGGGCGTATCGAAGCACGGGAAGAAGGAGCGGTTGCACACAGAGTGGCCCTGGGTGAAGACGAAAGGCTTGGCATTGCCATAGGTCAGCTCTGGGTCCAGCCACCAGATCTGCGGGCAAGGTGAAACATAAGCACACGCTGTCACCTGGTCCAGGGCTCTCGCTGTTTTCGCTACAGGTCCACAGCTGCTCCTGCAGGCTTCACCTGCCCGCCTGGCACACTCACTCCCCTCCCCTCGCAGGAACTGTCAACCCAGTTTGTGTGTGCCAGACACACCAAACAACCTTGTTCCAGACAGGAGGCCACATGTCTGGAGCTGGCCCACGGTATCTCCCAGCACTGCCTAAGAAAAGAGGAAAATGCCCACCATGGTATTAGCTGAACTTCCAAAGGGGAACTGAGGAACAGTCAGAGTGCCTGGGTTCAAATTCCCACAGGTTGGTAGCTAATCTGAACTTAGGAACAGGGAAACATGGGAAACAAGTGCTTCCTTACATGGGCATAGAGGGGTGTAGAGGGGCATAGAGGGGTCAGTCCCAGTGCTGGCCAGAGCGGAGGCTAGATATGGAGCTCTGATATGACAGGAGTGTTAAGGGGAAGGCATCCGAGATCAGTGCACAGGGAGAGGGCTGTGGCAAAGAGCAATCCCAGTAACTGCTGCCACCCGCTCTGCCTGCCCTCTAGGTCCCTGGCCTAGCCAACCTCCTTCCCAGCCATGGCTGTTGAGACATTCTGAATCTTCAGATGTCCAGACCAGGTCCCGCCCCACTGAGGAGTTCCAGCTACAAAGCAGTGTCTGCCCCACGCTACCCCTGCTAGGACAGCAGGAATGTTGAAACAAAGTGAATGCTTCGTTCTGGTGATCAAGGGCAAATGGGTCCTCTCAGGAATCACAGATAGGAAACACCCCCGACATTTCTTCACGAGTGGACAAGTGTTCTGCTAAGGCTGCCTGTCATTATGAGGAACAGAGCCAAGAGTAAGCGGGGCAGACCCCTGATGAGGGATGGTGGTGGGGCTGCTTGTTCCACAGACCTCGTGTGTGTGAGGAGTCATCCATCTCAGACCCAGAAAGAAATGCCTGCTTTCAGACCCCAGAGCTGTGTGGAATGCCTGTCCCCACAGACCCCAGGCCCCTTGACTCCCTACTCTAGAGCTGGGGACGAAGGTAAGTGCTTGCCCACAGACCCCAGACTGGGGGTGGTGGCAGTGGAAACTGCCACAGACCCTAGGATCTTGGGTACTGTCTTCATATTGACCCTAGATGTGTCTTTCCCAAAGACCCAAGAATTGGGGAGTAATGCCCTGCCCCGCAGACCCGGGAGTATGCCTAATTCACAGATCCTAGACCTGGGAGAGATCCCTGTCCCAACAGATCTAGAGACGGATGCTGCCCCACAGACTCAACACCCAGGAGGCTTCCTGTCAGAGTGGGTTGCTTGCCATGTAGTCAGGTCTCTGCCAGCATTTATGGACTTCTTCCAAAGTCTGTCTGCCCCATCACTGTCTTCTCCCCACAGCAAATTTCCAGATGTGTCTTCCTTTTCTGCTGGGGATCTAGTTCCAAAATGTAGCCTCCAGGGCCTAGGACCCAGGGACCTGAATGCAGGATTGTCCCTGCAGTGGATCCTGTTGAGAGCGGGTTCTTGATCCACTTTTGGAGAACATACTCCCAAATGATCTTCAGTCTCTACCTCCTCCCCTTATACCAGCTACACTTCAGGGGCAGTACAACCCGCTTCTCTTCCACTGAACCCCCAGGCTCTGCCTACCTCTCACCCTATGTAGTGGGCAGGCTGCCTTTCCCAGACATCAGAGGAATGGAATGGACTGAGCCCTGCCCCAAAGGTGGAAGGCTCCTGTCCCAGAGCACAGCAGCTGATTGATGGATAAGGAATGGGTCAACCAACTCAGATACTGAAGGGCAGGAAAAAAGCTGTTCTTGTAGGGGTGGGAAAGAAGGGCTGGGGTGCAGAGGAGCCCTAGAATCTGTAGCACCTCCAATCTGCCGCCCCTGGAGTAGGGTCTCCTGCTACATCCTCACTAAGCACGGGGCAGACACGGATGTAAGCCCTGAGCCGCTCAATGCTCAGGTGCAACAAACAGTAGGTGCCTGAGGTTAGGGGCCAATCTGCTTCCACGGGTGTGGGTGAGCTTTGTCCCTCTGGAGGCCCTGTCCATGAGGACCCTGCAGCGCGTCCCTGTCCGGAACAACCACAGCCCCACACATCAGGGCCACCCTTGCCCACTAGCCTTGTCTACTGCAGTCCAACGAGGGCTCTGCTCCCACCTCTTTGCTGTCAACGAGCAGAGCAAGCACATATGGTACATATTCGCAGGTAGAAGCCAGGAAGCAGCCTGCCCCTCAGTTTTCATCGGACATGCTAAGAAGCAGTCCCAGTACCTGCAGAGGCCCCACAGGACCACGGCAGACAGAGGGCGAAGCCCTGCAGACCAGGTGGCAGCACGTGGCAGGGACTCTGGGAAGAGGTGGCACGTGCCAATCAAAACTCCCGAGAAGTGTGCAGGAAGCCCGCAGATGTGAATCCCATCTGGTCTTTTGCTGCCCAGAGGTCACCTTGTTCCTTTGCAGCCACTGGCCTGTTTATTCGTGCTCCCCAGGTAGTGGCAGATGGACTTTCCAAGGGCCCTGCAGAGCTGCCTGTGTGCTATGTAGCCATGGCAGATGTCACATGAGCGCTCTACTGCCTGGGGAGCTGGAGGGAGGCATCGTGCCTCTGGAGTCAAAGGTCCTGCTCCAGTCTGCAAACCCACTGGTTGTGCTGCCACGGCCTTTGCCCGACACTTTGCTTTCCCATCAGGGCCTGCGGGATGGTGGGCACCCTGTACAGAAAGCCTCGGTAGAGCGCTGTGTGTCTTCTGGGAGGTGGGGCGCACCTGCCCCAGCATGTCACAACCCAGCTCGGGGAGCAAAAAGCCCAAGCATCACAGGCTACAATGGAAGGCCTCTGTGCCACCTACTGTCTCTCATTCCACCTGTAGAGAACAGAGCCGGGTGTCCTCAAGTCATCTGAATGGCCAGGTCATAGGCTGACCCTTCTGTAGCAGACACTCCCAGAAGATCCCTCAGTACTGGAATCTTACAGCTGGCTTAGCAAGGGGCCACCAGAAGCTGCTCTTGTACCCAGATAGGGGCGTAACCCCTGATGGGAAGTCCCCCCCCCCCCACACACACACAAGAAACATGCTATTGAGTAGCTCTACTGTCCACCGGGGCTGGCCCTGGGGCTCCACTCAAAGGTCCCAAGAACTTGCAGGCAACATCTGGGAATTACCGTGGGTACCTGGGGAGGACTCCAGGGCCAGGCTGCCCCTCGCTCCCCTGCAGGTGTTCCAGAGCAGGGAGCGGATTAACATCACCTGACCCGGCAGTAAAGCGAGGGGTGCCTGCAGAGCCCCGCCGACCACCCACCGGCCTGGACGCCCACCCGGGCGGGACTCACTGCGGGGGCGTCCGTGGAGGTGTAGCGCAGGATGACCTGGAAGGGCTGGTGTGCCTGCAATTCGGGTGGCAGTGTGACGGTCAGCGAGGAGCCATAATCGGTGAATGGGTCCAACCTGAAGGCCAGAGGGCAGCCGGCGGACTCCGCGTCAGACGAATTTGCGAAAGCGGGCAGCGGGGGCCCCAACCCGGGGACAGGAAAGGCGAAGGTGCAGGGCAACTCGGAGGCGGCAGGGGCGCGGCGGAACGAGACCGAATGCAGGCGCAGGGCCGGGTGCGCGTCGAGCACGAGCGCGCGGGGCGCGGGCCGCAGCGCGCACAGCTCCAGCACGAGGCAGCCGGCCAGCTCGCGCGCCTCGGGCCGCAGCTCCAGGCCGAGCTGCAGGTGGCGGAGGCGGAAGAGCTGCGCGCTGGAGGCCGAGGCCACGTCCAGGGCGGGCGGCGGCTCGGGCGGCGGGCGGGCGGGTGCCGCTTCGGCACCGGGCGCCTTGCGGCAGCAGCACTGTGCCGCCATGGCCACCGGCGCTAGGTGAAATCCATGGGCGGCGGCCGCTGCAGGCCGCGGGCAGTGGGCGAGGGACCCCGGGCGGCGGCGGCGGCCTTGGCGGTGGCGGCTGCGGCGGGGCGCGGGCACAACAGGAAGTCGCGCCGGGAGCCGCCCGGCCCGGCCCCGCGCCGTGCGCCGCCCCGCTCGGGCTGGGCTCGGCCGCCGCCGGGGGCGCTGTGTATGGCCCCGGGGCCTGTGCGCCGGAGCGGTGCGAGCCGTGCAGCGGAGAGCGAGGCTGGAACACCCGGGGCGGCTGCGCGTCCTCAGTTTGTGCTCTGCGCTCGCTCGTTATGCTCGGAGGACAGCCTTGGAGGCGGGACCGTCGCTTTCCCAGGGACGCCGGCGGCACCTTGGCAGTCGGTCCTCTTACTTCGGGAACGATTCTTGTGGTTCCGCTGACGCGATTCCTTCGTGAGTCCTCCGGTTGGTTTGTACCGTGGCCAGGTGGTGCCGAGCGGCTCGGGAAGACGCGAGGCTGTCAAGTACAGAGCCCATGCAGGTGTGGCTATTTAGATCCAAATTAAGCTTAAAGAGACGCTGCCAGTTGCAATGGCCATGTTTTAGGGTCGACTTTATTGCTGTAGAGGTGTCTGTGTGTGTGTGTGTAGTAGAGATAACACTGCTGAACGCAGTTCTGTCTCAGCTCCAATCTAAGGGGGCTGCAGGAACATGTTAGGCTAGCGCAGCAAGGCTACACAAAGGTTGAGCCGTCCAGTACAGGACCAAGGTGGACAGAGGTGTCCTGCCATCCACGGCAGGAGGCAGGCATAGATTCTGAGGGAGAGGGGCTTCCAGTCTCCCCAGACGTAAATCAAGCGGCCCTGCCCACCTTCCACGGGTGAGAGGCACAGGTCAGTGGCGAATAAGCCACAGGTGCAGCCTAAACACTGAAACGTGGCTTCCTTTAGCAGTAGCCCCTCACGTCTTCGTGTGCACTCTTAGCTGGCAATCCATGGGGCCCCCATTTCAGACTCTGGAAGAACTCCAAGGCTCATGCTGTGACCCAGAGGCAAGGATGAGAGGGAGAAAGACTGGACTTGGTGGAAAGCACTTGGCATTCCAACAATCGGGAGACAAAGGCATCGGATGTTCACAGTCATCCTTGGCTCTATGTGGAGTGTGTGAGGCCAGCATGGGGTACTGACATCCTGTCTAAAAGATAAAGAGTGAAGAGACCTGGCGTTAAGGTTACTGCCACTTTCTGGTGTCCAGTGGCCTGTCCACCAGACTATCCTAGAAGACATTCTCAAACCTGATGGCCTGGGTTCCTTTTGTCCTTGATGTAGACTGTAGGGTTCTCCCATCTTAGTCTCTCAAATTGGACCCCCAGGGTTTGGGGTTATATCTGTCTGGTTCTGGTGATACTCCATTCCACAAACAGAAGGGGTGATGTGGGGGCAGCCTTGACCCAGCTATTCCACTTCTAAGAGTGGGGCTGGATGTGCCTCCACCCCTTATTTACATAAGGAGCCAACACACTTCTTTCGAGACCAAGAGGACAATTTGCTTGGTGGAGTCAGGAGACTGACTGCAAACTCCAAGCCCTCAAATGGTGTTCAGTCAAAGGCCCTGTCCCCCTAACACTGATAAGCTACCTTGAGTGTCCCCTTGTGGTTTCAGTCAGTGTTATACCCCAAGCCCCAAAAGAAAAGTGTTTGGCAGGGGTGGGGGTGGGGTGGGTGTCCTGTCCTCCCTGGGGCAGAGGTTTGAAAGTGGGGTCATGCCAAAACTACAGTTGACTAGCTCCCAGAACCAGGCTGGTGGAATAAAAAGCACCCGGTATACTCCACAGATATCCTTCCAGCTGACCTGGGCAGTATGTCCCTTGCATGTTTGTCACCTTTAGGTGACCTGACTCTAGTCATCAGGTTAGGAAGTATGCCCTGTCCTGGTGGGAGGGCAGTGGCCTCTTGGAAGGTGTTGTGAACCAGGGGTTGTGGGCCTCTCGGAAGGTGCTATGCACACTGGGGGTGGGGGGACCTGGGCCTGGAGCCTTGTTCTCTGCAAGTCACTGTAGCCTCAATGGCTGAGTGTGTGTGTGGGTGGGGGGGAGTAGCAGTGGCTCCTTTAAGGGATGAACATATGGGACCTGGTGGAGGAAGCTTGGTGGTCAGATGAGCCAGCTTGTGCAGCAGTCTTGGCATGGACAATGCCAGCTGATCACACCTTTTGGGCTAGGTATTCCCTACAAAGTGTAGCGAACACTTTGAACCAGTGACTGCTGAAGGATTTGTTCATTACAGTCAGAAACCAGAAGTGCGGGGTCAGATGGGGAAGGCAGTGCTCACTAGCACCCCAGTGCCTTGATCATGAACTGTGTGCCTCACGTCCCCTCAACCTTGGGTTCAGCTAAGTGAGACGGTTTCATTCTTCATTCTAAGGGAGAACCCTCCATCTGGGGACCCAAGTATGTCTCACTGCATAGAGGCAGACATGACAAAACCTTTTTAGTCTCTTTAGGGGCAAAACCGGGAGACAGACCACGACCTTCAAGAAGCTGATGCAAATGGACTACTCCGGCCCCAGAGACCATAAGCAGGGAGAAGTAGAAAAGGGAAACCATAAATATAAACTCTGGGATTTTATTCACAGATTTATATTTGTTGGCAAATTTACCAGTGGCCACACATCTGTAATTCACACACCTAGCCCGGGTTTTTCTTTGCTCTTCCCTCACTACTTCTTTAAATGGTAACAAAGTTTCCAGGGCTCTTAAGGAAACAATGTCTAAGAGGCTGTGTCTGAACACAAGGTGACAACTGACGGGCCTGCCTGCCAGCTGGGGAGAATAGTACACAGTGTATAAGGGCAGCTTGACAATGCTAGGCATTGATACAGGTTAAGTAAGGCGGTGGGGAGGTGGACAGATGCTCTCCTCCCACCGCACAGCAGCTGTAAGATTAAAGATGGTGGGCTCCGGACCTCCTGCTGGGAGACTCTAAGCCCCTACCTAAGAAGGAACAAGAAAGAAGTCCAGGGGGCACGAAGTTCTGCTTGCAAGGCCAGGCAATCCCTGGGAGGAGGCAGCAAGCTAGGACTCTGGTCTGTCACTCCCTATCAACTCTCGTAGGCGCCCCAGACTCATCGATCCCTAACGCGAGTTCTCTACCTAAAACTTCGCTGGTTTGTATTTGACCCAAACCTGATGAATAAACGAAGCCCCCCTCTTCAGTAGACACTCCTGGACTGCCACCAAGAGGGGGCAAAACCCGATGCCATTGCCTATTGAAAAGAGGGAAGAAACGCCTTGCAGTGTAGACACCTGGCCACCCAGCCGCTGAAGGGGGCGGCTTACTCGGGATCAGCGGGTTCCCGGGGCAGGAGGGCCTGGACCTGGAGGTTCTGTTCAAACTTCTGCAGCTGAGCCCAGAAACCCATATTGGGCTCGGCTACCGGGCGAGCGCTCTTCACCATCTGCGATCAAGAAAGCTACGGTAAGCGAGAGGGAGAGTACCCGGAGCAGAGGCTCCGCCCCGAGGGAGGGTGAAGGGTGGGCTGGGCCCGCCCGCCCCGGAAGAACCTCTTTATGTGGGGGCCCGCCCCGGAAGACCCGCCCCTGGACGCTGGCACCTGGAAGGCGCGCTCCAGGCTGTGGCCGCGGTGGCGCATGAGATAGGCGGTGCAGACGGCGGCAGAGCGGCTGCGGCCGTTCTTGCAGTACACGAGGCAGGCGCCGCCGTCGCGCACCGCGGCCTCCATGGCGGCACAGGTGGGCTCCAGGTGCGTCAGCAGGTCTTCCGCCGGGTCGTCGAACACGGGCACGCGCAGCTCGGCCACTCCGGGCGCGCGCGGCCCGGGCTGCTGGCGGGAGACGTTGACGCACAGAGTGATGCCCGCGCGCACCAGCAGCTCCGTCGCGCCCGCGGCTCGCGCGTTCCCGATGAAGAGCGCCGGGGCGACGCGCGCGAACGGCGGCGGTGCGGTCTCGGAGGTGCCCATGACCCCGACGACACGAGGGTCAGCCGAGGGCTGCGCTTGCGGACTCCCTGCTGTGGCCGCTAGGAGGCGACCTCACCGCGTCGTGGGGCGGAGCCTCTCCTGGCCTCGGCTCGGCGTTGGCTAAAATGACAGCGGGCGGGGCCAGGAAGAGGTGGTGTGGATGTGTGTGTGTGTGTGGGGGGGGGGGAACAACAGGTGACATGCGTGTTTAGTAAGTGCTATAGGCTGGCCCAGCCCAGGACAGCAGGCTGCAAGTCAGTTGCAACATTATTTCCTTTCGTTAAGGAAATTGCTCCGTGACACACCCAACTTTTCCTTTGTAAAACATGGTTCATATGCAATAAAACTACCACAATGTATTCGTGTCTTCCTAGACCAGATTTTTTTTTTACTTAATCATATGGTAAAATCTTAAGTCGGTGCTGCGACTTCCCAAAGCTTATTTAGAGTTATTTAGTGAGGCCATGGAGATGGCACAGGGGGTGAAGGTACCTGTTGTCGAGCTTGATCTGAGTTCTATTCCCGGGACCCACACAGTTGGATGGAGAGAACTAACTCTTGCAAGTTTTTCTCTGCCCTGCACATGAGTGCTCATACAAGCAATCACAAAACCGTTTTTAAAATTAGAAATAGAGGTACTTAGTGTCTATGAGAGCCAATTATTTTCTGATGCTCAGAATTTTAGAGGAGTAATTTTCCTATGGCACCAAAGCCATGAACAGATAGATCATCTCAGCTTCAATTTTGTTATAGCAGTGAAAACATTTGGTTTTATTTCCGTGCACCCTGAAGTCAGTTTCCATTACCCCATACACCCCAGTAATAATATTTCTTCAAAAATCTTGGCAACAAGGAGAAAGATGGGCCTACTCTCTCCCCTCCTGCTACTAGATGTTGGTGACTCCCAGCTCATGACTGTAGCCTGGTCCTCCTCTTGTGCTAAATCCTCAAAATATCTGCAGCCAGATGAGCCTTGCTGCCAGCCCTTACAGAGGCAGGCCTTACCAGCAGCTGCCTCAGCTTTTTGACCCCCCAAGGAAGGCGCTGACTTGGCTTTATTGGGACAGGAAAACAATGTGTGACCAGAAAACAGTTCTAACCTCAAAGGAAATGAGTTAAATATGAAGGCCATGGCTGGCAACGAGGACGCAAGTTGCCTGAAATGGCTTGTTCCTGTGTAGAAAGTTTCACTAGCGTTTGTAGCTACAGAACAAAAGGAAAGCACTTCTCAGATACATTAGTGGAAATATCAGGTAAGTGGCGTAGAGAAAAATGGGGAGATCTGGTATAGGTTTCAGACACTTCTTACCTTTTGGGTTGGAGGCAGCTAGTGTATTAATACAGTCCAAACACTTACCTAATAGTCACAGACCATTAGTGTATAAATTGAGGGCGTGACGCTCTGAGGTATGGTTAAGCAGAAGGTTTTAATTTTT